AACCACAGTGGCGGTAGTGGTAGTGTTTAGTTTTTTTTTTTATAGGCTTTTTTACTTTTATTTCCACCTAGGTGATCCAGCCGGCAACACACCTCTTCTCACTCCATGGAGGGGCAACAGAGCCACCCTTAGACAATAGCATTGTCACCTTGTGAAGAGGGTAGATGGACTTGACTAACGAATTAAAGCCAAACCCCAGCTAACACTGTTTTAGCAGTTACAGCAACAGTTTTTGTTTTCCTTTTAGAATAAAGGTTTTACATATATGAATAAATGCTGATCATTGTAAGCATTCCTGTCAGTGTTCAACGGTTTGTCCGAACCAGGGCTGGATTCCACACAGGGCCATTGAGTCCATTTATTATGCATGGCAGAATAAATGTCAGTCAAAGTACCGCAGCGCTGAATACTGAAAAATGGCCTTGGACAGGAAGGGGGTGTAAACCCCCCGGTCATCAAATGGTTAAAAAGATTTCACCAAATCTCTTATCACCTCTGCGGTGATTAAAGATCTCAACGCCGCAGGTACAGTACTGTCAGCGAAAGGGAATCCCACCCGATGGTGCCGCCCCTCCGCTTCCGGCTCCAATGCTGCACGGAAACATCAGCATCCCCTACATGCAGCGTCAATCCCCCAATCACTGCAGAGGTGATAGAAATTCAAAGGGAACAACCCAGCAGACCAACATGCGGTCAGTAAGCAAGTGGCTGCCTATCAAATAAATCCATGTGTATCACCTGCAGCTCCACGCCGATAAAAGGCTTCAACACCAGATGCAAAAGATGGCTATTCTTCAACGCAGCGCCAAAGCAAGGAGCAGAGGGGCAGCACCGCAGGTGGTTCCTTTCCTCACTACTGTTTTCTGATTGACTGTCTTTCAGCTTTTTATCTACTTGCTGACTCTCACTTGCCCGCTAGCTGCAAATCCCTTTCTGAAAGGGGCTGGTTAGCTGTGGGGTAGTTTTCAATGGGAGCAAACAGTTCTCTTGTATCATCCAGCGTGTGGGAAGGGCTTACCTACTCCACTAGGCCCGAAAGCCGGGGCCTCGATTTTGCAGGGCTCCGCACAGCCGGAGATGCAGGCGGTTGTTGTTTCGCCGGAGAGGAGCGCTGTGGGGTATTCTCTTTCTCCCCTCTCTGTGAGGAATGCGAAGACCTCTCAGAGCCCTGAGAGGGAGCTGTCGATGGAGGAGCAGGTCCGCCGCCGCCATCTTGCGCAGCCGGCGGCTGAGGCCGCCGAATGAAATCCGTGACCTTGCGGGGTTTAGAGCCGTTCCTGCGTTTGCGGGACAAGACCCGGGGTGAGTCAGGATACCGGCAGTAGCTTTGGGGGCCGGTATGTCTCCCGCTCGTCGCTTCACAGTAAGCCCAGGCCTGTGGGTGCACGGAGCTTCGGTTCTAAGCCACCATCTCGCACGCCAGTCGGCCACGCCCCCCCTGCAAATCCCTTTCTGAAAGCACAGAATAGGTTATGCCAACTGCACCAGAAAAACAATTTCATACTTGTTTAATAAATATTGAAATGCGCCAATAACCCAAATAAGAACACAGATTTGTCTTTTTCTAACTGTGTGCTAGAAATAATACATATGTGCTGATTTGATTTTGAAATAATGGAGATCAGACTTGTCCGCACTTATTATTATAACTTGTCCGCAATATTTATATCATCTGCTTTCCATTTATTGCAACATGTGGCAATCTGATGAAAATAGAATACAAAGGGGATGTGGCATGATGCCCAATGGATGTGTTTATGGTGTGGTCGTTCTTTGATGGCAGCATACTGTGATCCAAAATATAGATCTGCTCTGACTTTACATTTTAGGAAACTACTTGTCTAATGAAAGACTGAAATATTCCAGTGTAAAAATTGTTTCAAACGGCATTTAATGTTGACATTACATTTATAGGATCGTATTGGCCTTAAATTTCGTGTGTATTACCCCTCAGTGACAGTTTCAGAATTCTTTTTTGTTCCTGGGACTGGAGCAATTGTGCCATTTTTTTGCTATGTGTTTGTTTAACCATAATTTTCCTCATGCATTGCACCTACAAATAGTATATACCGTTTTTTAAACAACAAAATGGGCTTTAATTTGATGTGACATATGCACTGAGTGGCCAGATTATTATGACCACCTGACGTTTGTAGGCAAATTAGCTATAATTTTGCGCTGAAGTTGCTAGAGGGCCAGACCATTATAAATAGGGAAGCAGGTTGTTTACCACGACAGTAGAAGTGATTTTTTCTGAAGATATGGGTAAACAACGCAATTTAACAGCCTTTGAACGTGGGATGATTGTTGGCGCTCAAGCCATGGAGCGAGTATCAGCAAAACAGCAGAATTTGTTAAATGTTCAAGAGCAGCTGTTGTTAAAGTGTTTAAAGATGGGACTGTCAGCCGAAAATCTGGGTCTGAACGTGTGAATTGTGGCCGTCAGCGACTAGTCAATGTTAGGGCAGAACGGAGAGTGGCAAGACTGGTACAAGACAACAGAAGGGCAACAGTGCAGTGTCAGATTCCTCGTCACGAGGCGGCCCAACGAAGTAATCTCGTGGAGTCATCTCGTGGCCCAGCGTCATAATAATCTGGCCACTCAGTGTATAAATTCTTATTTTTTTAAATTAAAAAATACACACAAAAACAAACAAACACATTTTTCACAGTTTTGACATTAATAATGTGTACATAATTAGTGTAGTTATCAGAAAGAAATTCATAAGAAATTATTTTATTTGTCCTGATTTATAGGGTATATCATGTATCTGGGATTTCAGTTTTTTTTTGGGGGGGGGGGTGTATGGAAGAGAGCTATAGGTTACAAAATACAAGGAGTGAAATACAATTTTAGTGTGGAACAATTTCTTAATGTTTATTTACTATCTTTGATAGCCTCCTCGGTGCTATATTTTCTTTTAATTGTTCTTATTAAACCTATTTTTTTAAACTGGTTAAGTGGTTATTTTTTTTATTTACAGGGGCTTTGATACTTAGCATCTCTGAGGAGGATACATTATTCTCCTTAGAGATACTTTGGGGGTGATTCACTAACCTAAACACACACACGCACGCACTAGGTGCGTGTGATTTTTACACAGCAAAACGTATTTATCAACCAAAAAGTCTCTAAAAGCATATTTCCACTAATGCCATATATGGAAAAATCATGCACATGATGCATATATAATGCTGCTTCACAGTTTAGACAAAAATGGTTAGCTCATGCATTTACATTCCTGCATTCATCAACGCAAGCAACACAATGTAGAGCTAATTTACACAACATCACCTTGCAATTCATGCAGGGCTTTGCACAACACACCTGCTGGGTGTGTACACACTACAAAGGTGTCTAGATTCCACCAATAGATCATGCTGGGAGGGAACACACTACAGAGGTGTATACTTGTTCGTGGCATGTTTATAAGGTTAGTAAATCAACCTCTTTGTATCAGTTTGTAAACACACAGCCGGCTTGCAGGTGCACAACACAGTGAGCTGCTCCCGGCTATGTAGCTGTCATGGCTCTGCAATCACAGCGATCAGCTATTGCTGTGATCACAGGACTGTTACCACCTAGTCTGCGGTTGAGGGACCCATGAACAGCAGTAACTCAATGAGCGCTGGTCCCTTCACGGACCAGTGCTCATGGTACTGCATAACGTGATTATGCCATCACCAGTCGTTAACAAACTGAACAGTCGTGACGGGATAATCACGTAATTGGTCGGAAGGGGTTAAATCATATCTGCAGCAGGTTAATACTAATGGAAAGTATTTAAAAAAAATAAATGTCACTGCCCTGTTGTAGTTATTTATGGTCTTGTGAGCGGCTTTCATAAATGAAGACAGGTAATTATTCTAGTGCCTGAATCTCAGTGCTGTTTGCCGAAATGGCTTTGTTGAATTGCCAATCTGCTCAACTTTCCACTACGCTGGTACCTTGACCTAATACATTAATATGCAAGGTGATGGCGAAAAGATCAGAGATGAAAAGTTCAGAGGTGTTTTTGGCCTTACTGGGATCCGTCTACATATATAGACATGCAACATGTTCCCTTGCATTTGAACTATGTTGCATTTTATGGGTCGACAACAAAGCCTGTGTAAATGCCTGTGAGTAAAAAGGTCAATGGATGCAAGGTGGTATTACATTTACCAGTTTACTTTGCAAAAGACAGGTGCAAGCCACCTGTCTGATGAGACTGCATTTAAGGAAATATGAATTGCACGGATTAAAGGAAAAAAATGGTAGATGCTTGAGTGCACAGTCTTTTTAAGCAGTTATTTTGTACAGCATAGGAAAAGGTATTTATTTTCATTTATATAGCTCCATTGCATTCCACAGTTGTTTATTTAGAATATTAATTCTTACGTAGTTTATAATCTAATGCCTCTACCAAAGTAACATTCTAGAGCCAAATCATCTGTTACTATGTTGTTGAAGTGTAGAAGGTGACCACCAGGAGGAAACAATCAGTTATACATGGGCACCATACAAATATCACACAGTTAGTGCTTCTGGTTCAGTTACAACCCAAGTCCCCAGCATTGCAAGGCCACAGTACAAACCATTAAGTAACCATGAAGCCACATATAGAAGCAACAGTGTAAACAGGCTCTAATGGCCCTAAGTAAAATAAAGAATCCTGTGTAATTTTGTGTAGTTTTTACTTGCTTTGCCTCCGAGGTCATTTGATTGATTGGACTGGGTGTTACAGCAGGGGTCAGTAACTAATAGTTTGAAATACAGCTGAGATGCAGTGAACTCTGGTGTAAAGTAAAAAGATGCAATGGAGTTCAAACTCGGGGTGGTTCCAACATGGTCTGATAGCCAATGTTTCATTTTGGCCATAAAAAAAGACCAAAATAAAGCTACAAACAATGCATAAATCCAACCCCTGTACAGAATCCACAAATGTTCTTTAAGAAATTATATTGTGCTAGCAGCTGCTTCTTTACTAAAGTACAAACTTATTTTTCTTTCTGTTTAGGTTCTCCTGTTTCATGACCAGAATTATGGAATTCATTACGAATATACCATTCCAGTGAACCAGACTGGAGAACAGAGAACAGAGGTGGAGAAGCAGCCAGAACCGCTGTACATGTGGACACACAGCAGCTGGGAGGGCTGTAGCGTACAGTGTGGAGGAGGTAAGGTCATTGTGGTTTTGTATAATTCTATTTTTAGATTTTAGCAAAGTGTAACCGGGACAGGTTCTAGTATTGTGCCAAGCTTCAAATCAGCTGAGTTAAGTTCACTGAGTGTTATAAAGAACGTAGCTTGCACTGTATGCTGGGATGGGCATAAAAGTGTTAAACAGGAATGCACACGCTCATTGCCTGCAGTGAACATACCCCAACTAAAATAGAACTTGGAAGTAGACCATCCCCTTGTGCACAGGTAAATAGCTTCTTCTGTCTATTATAATATTGGCACATTAGCAATATAAGTTTTGTGGCATGCATAGTTTGAGGTACATGCCAACTAACCAAAAGGTGCTGCCCTGTATTAAACTAATTGAAATACAAACATGATGTTTCTAGTGTTCAAAAATATCCACAAACCTAAAACTAAGTGGATACAATAGAAAACACAGTGTATTGAACACAAATTAATATTACAAGACACATAACAGTATGTGATATAATGTATATCACACCGAAAGCATAAATCAAAATGTCCCGTGCCAACTCCTTCAAATTACCACAAATCACTGATATTCAAGTCGCTCTTAAAGTCCAGAAACCATTTTAACCCTCATTAGTCCAAAATGTGCATACATAAAAAGTGCAGCAAGTGTGGGGTTTCCACCACTCCTTAACACTCAAGTGCCCTCCACCTTCCTTGTGCAAAACCAATTGTCTTCCAATGGCCGCTCACCTCACCGCTAGACTTTCTCATGAAAGGCCAAGCCAGCAGATGTTAAAATCGGCCTCAAATCCGTAGAAATAAAGTCGTCTGCTCCACAACTGCTCCTCTGGATGGTATACTCCGCAACAAACCCGAATTTTACTGCTTAATCTGATCACCAGGGATCTAGCCAGCCGAATCCTCTATAGCTCCTGAGACTGTCCGAACCTCCCGTTTCCAGCGATTCCTCTGACTGATCTACTCTACCGCATATAACGATCATGCAAACGATACAAGCCGACACACAGTGCCCTCCATAAAGATGATAAAACTAGTTTATTAAAAAGGTACTGACATAACATCATAGAAAATAAGATCTCAAAATAAAATTTAATGCAGTCAATTATTGAGTACAGCGAGATGTCTCCACGGCTCAATCTTCATGCCACATCCTCCAGCTCCCCCCTACGCACGTTATATCTAAAAATCAACTTAGTCAGGTGCATCCCCTGAAATTTGTATTTCAATTAGTACAGTGCAGCACGTTTTAGTTAGTTTGCCTGTTTTGCACTTATATTAATATAAGGTGAGTGCTTGCTGCTTTCACAGGATTAGGTGGGGGGGGGGGGGGAGGGCGAGGTTAAGCTATAGATATTTTGAGTTTGAGGTACATGTTGCTCAACCAGTGTGCATGATATTTAAGTGTCCGCTGAAATTGGTAAATTTTATATGAGATGGGTGGACATAAGCGTACATGCCAATTATAGTGAAAGGTAAAGATGCAGACCAATTAAGTTCCTATAGTATATGTATGTGTGTGTGTGTGGATATAATATATGTATATTAAAAGAAAAATACAGGAAGTAAAATGGCATTTTTGTTTCCCATTTAGTTTCATGAAGAAATAGAGAATTCAGGTTAATAATGATAAAAGTAAAGCATAAGATTAGTTGGTCAGAGACAATTAACTCCTTCGTGACTGACGACGTACAGTGTCCCGAAGAAGGGGACGTCCCCCCCCCCACACTCTGCCACACTCTCCCTTACAACTCTGTGACACCCCCCTCGCCCCCAACACTTTTCCCCTGCCCACCAAACTATAATACAACTTGTTTTACCACAAAGGTTAAAAACAGAGGTTTAGATACACGTCTTCTGCAGAAAATGTGAAAGCTGCCTCGCCAAGGCACCTCTATATAGTGCGGTCCTAACTCTAAACTATGAGAGTCTCCATCTTGGATCACATGTGGCAAAATAAAAAAATTGGGTGCAGGTTTGTCAGGAGGAAGCCCAACCTCCTTAAAGGCACAGGGACGCACAAGGGACCCCACACATCACAACGGCAGCTGAGACCCCCCCATCCGTCACTGCACCAAATCAGTCAAGCAAAACAAATGGCAAATGCACTCATCAATTTGGTAACAAATTGATGAGTGCGTTTGCCATTTGTTTTGCTTGACTGATTTGGTGCAGTGACGCATGGTGGGTCTCAGCTGCCGTTCTAATGTGCGGGGTCCCTCCACCACTAACAAGTGTTTGCATATACAGGTGAAACTCGATTAATTAGTACTGTAAGATGCTTGAAGTCCAGTGTGAAGTTTCCACAGTCTTGTGTTGATTTGGGGAGCCATGTCATCTGCTGGCAAGCAAAACAAATGGCAAACGCACTCATCAATTTGTTACCAGCTCTAAGCAAGGTGCACCTTGCTTAGAGCTGGTAACAAATTGATGAGTGCGTTTGCCATTTGTTTTGCTTGACTGATTTGGTGCAGTGACACATGGGGGGTCTCAGCTGTGCCTTTAAGGAAGGTTGGGCATCCTCCTGACAAACCTGCACCCAATGTTATCCTTTGCTACATGTGATCCAAGATGGAGTCTCTCATAGTTTAGAGTTAGGACCGCACTATATAGAGGTGCCTTGGCGAGGCGGTGCGGCTTTCACATTTTCTGCAGAAGACGTGTATCTAAACCTCTGTTTTTAACCTTAGTGGTGAGACAAGTTTTTTTTGCATGCTGGCCGGTGAGTGTGCTGGGAAACTTTTTGCTGTTATCATTATCCAAGTCACGTTTCACAGTGCAGGTTTAAACCTTGTTGATATCAGGCAATATACTTTTAGAAAATGTTCATGTGGATTTACATTGAGCTTTTTTTCTTTATCAGGTGAACGGAAGACTATTGTGTCCTGTACAAAACTGGTAAACAAGACTATGTTAATTGTGAATGAGAGCTTGTGTCTTTCTGTAACACGGCCTGCCCCACAGGTGCGGAAGTGCAACACACATCTATGCCAGTCCAGGTGGGTCTTGTCATTGACAGCTACAGCTTGTCTACTTTGTTTTTCTATTGTGCAAACTATAAAGCAACTGAGATAAAGAAATCAGGTGCTCCGATGTCAGCCACCATGCAGAAGTTCATAAGAAGAATGAATAGTTATCTAAATTGTGGGCAGGCTGTTCCTAAAGACAGGTCTTTCCAATACACATTTTTACTTGGATCAGCTGTGCATTGGCTGTGCCCTTGGATCAGCCAAGAGTGCATGTTTATGCCTGTGGAAGGCTGCAGAGGGAGACACCTGACCCCTCTTTATCTCAGTGGAAATAATTGCTAATAACCAGGAAAGTTCAACCCACCTGATCAAATCTTCTCCTGTTAAGTGCGCAACTAGTGGATGTCTGTAGAGTTTATGCAAATTTTTGAACACTTCTCAATCCAACCACAACCTTTAGACTTATATTCAGTGTTTCAGAGAAAGGGGGTAGGAAGAGTCTTTATCAGCCTGGCAAAAGTTGATTGAAAGTGTTTTTAGACATTCAGTGGTCAATGGGCATGCATCATTATGCACCTACTATTCCCCCACTTTTATTGGCCAAGTGTGTTCATATAGTGTGTAGACACCACCATTGTAAACCTAATCCCTCAGGAATCACTTGAGGACAACAGTCATTTTTTATTTTTTCCAAAAACTGTCAGCAGGGTAGGGGGTCGGATTATGTCTCCAGGTGCTCATTGTCATTGCGGTTGTTGCTTATCCAGCCAAAATTTACAACATTGTGTGACAGTCCTATATAGGAGCACCACTGAAACAAAATGTTGACAATATTCTGATTACTAGCATAAAACAGGACAGGTAGCCATTGGGATGTTTTTGCAGATGTTTTGAGATGCACTGAAAAAGGGGAGATTTTTTAATTGTATTCGTACTAGAACAATATCAGCTGCAGTTGTTCTAGTCAGGTGTTTGCAAACAATGTAATCAATTCCATTCACTGTTGAAGTTAATTACTATGTGTTGAGAAGCACTTGTGAAGAGTGCTGGCAATCGCATTCAAATGCGTCTTCAGCACTTCACTAATCACCATGGTATGGTGCGCCCAGCAGTACAACATTATCATGATGGTTCTGGTTACTTTGTGTTGGCAATGTAAAGTGTATATTACATTGTAAATGGATGTCAATGTATTATTCATCCTATACCTTCATACATTTCCATTTGTTTATCAGCACATAGTTTAATAAATTGTAGCTTTGGCACATTTGAATTGTTTGTATTGTAGAAGTTAGAATTCCCCTTAACCACTTCAGTACCGGCGTGTTAAATCACCTCTATAACCAGGCCATTTTTTTAGTTATCAGTGCTGTAAAAGTTTGACTTTAGAGAATTACTCTGTGACACAACACTGTCCCCAAATTAATTTGATATCTATTTTCGAGACAGAGCTTTATTTTGGTGGTATTTAATACCCACTTTTTAATTGTTTTACTATATAAAGGAGAAAAGATCAAAATAATTTGAAAGAATGACTGTTTCCAATCACAGCAATCACAAGACACAGAGTCGGTCTGATCGGCTTTGTGCCTGAAGCCAATGCTCTCTGCTGTCTAATGGATGCTGTGGCTTCTGTGTGGTCCGGGCATGCGCACACAGGGGGCCCTAACCCTACATCCTCCCGGGAACAATACGGCAGCTGACTTGAAAATGGCCAGTGAGCAGCAAGATAAATACTGTCATATAGGTGCAGCTTTTGCGGAATTTTCAGTATTAAGAAAATTCTGATCCCTGCTAAATATGATGCATTCCGTGGTTTTCTTAAATCTTATTGACTTTTGTGGACAGCACACAACATCTCTGGTTTTCGTTGGCTGTCATGGTTTTCCTTAGCAGGTCAAAGCAACATGTTCACTATAATCCCCCATTCCTAGCAGCATATACTTTCTCTTCCTACTTTGCCTGTTCTTCAGCCACCAAGGGTAAAGAAAGTCAGCCCTCTGTAAGTTCTATTCAGATCCCCAGTCATAAGGGCTGATTGTTTCTTCAGCCTCCTATGATAGTTCTGAGTCAATCAACAAATGCTAGGTTGCCATGAAATTAGCCAAATTATCCTATATAACTAGAGGAAATTGGTATTTACTTTGTTTCTAGCGATTGAATGGAACCGAGGTATGGGAAGTATATGCTTCTGGGAGACTAGACTTTGAAGCAAACCACCCACATTATGGCCCTAGATCTTTTGTCAACTTTACTAAAATAGTCATGTTAGCAGCTGTTAATTTTGAGATTTGGGGATCATGTATATCTTTAGGGGTTAGGGAATGAAAACTGTATAACTAATAGAATGAGAACTGCACTGAAACATTAATGCAGCCAAGGATGCAAAACTAGAGGAGTTACAATATTTAGCTAGAAAATGTTGTGCTACAGGTGGATGAACTTTCCCATCTAAAAAAGAAAAATTGTGTGTGTGCATATAGAATCTGACCGCAAGGAATGTTGCACAACCACTTGCATTACATATTGTACATGCATATAAACCGGATCATGCATTCTAATTCTGATCCATATAAACATCAGATTAAACAAGAGCCCCACTGCAAATGAAGGGGTGAGATGCCCACTGGGTCCAAACCAACAGCAATAAAATTAAAGATTTACCTGCTAAAGTTCTGCTTTAGTAATCTGTGGTCTGTTACTATATGTTACTATCATATTGTTTGTGGTCAAGAACACGTGTAAACTGTACAAACAAAGTTGCAGAAACATGGTTTACCAATACTTGGGGATAACACATTCAAAATTCAGGCATCTTGTAAAAAAATGACAAATATTTTGCTTTGGCTGAGCAAAGGGAATTTTGAGCATTGATGACATTTTGCAGTCTTTACAACAGAGTATAAAGTGGACGTTTTATGTAATCCTGACATTTTCGGAACATGCAAGTGCAGCTGTAAAGCTGCACAAATGTGTGACTTGCTAAAGGAGATGTTTACAGTGTGTAGGCAGACCATATTTAATTTGCCTGATTTCTAATCCCTTTTACTGGGCCAGCTGAAGCTTTGATGTGTTTTCATTAGCAGGTGTTAAATTCTTCAGAGCAAGTGCTGGTTTAAAGCTCCGTTCTCTTTCCCAGGCCTCTCTCACCCTTTACTGTCTCTGTTTCTGCCTCTTAAGCTCAGTGTACAGAGCTCTATGAAAGTGCTGAAATTCTTTGAGACTTGGCAGCTCTGTACCAAACTGACATACCGCATTCCCACGCTTACTGACCACATTCACACTTCTAGTGCCGCTCTCGGGATCTCTGTCAGCAGAGTGGTTTCTTTCTTAAACCTCCAGATAAAGTCTCACTTTCCAGTGGCGTTTCCATCCCCAGGTCTTAAACCTGCTGACTCTGCAGATCGGTTCCAGAAGCCACTCACAATTCCACCCACTCTCTGACTGTACTGTACACATCGGAGTTTGACATCTGTATAAAAGTTACTACTGTTGGTTGGTCATGGAATGAAAACAGTCTTTAAAGACCTTCTGGTTTCTATCGAGTGCTTATATAACTAGCTCTAATGAAAGTGACTGTGTTTATAGAATACCTGCTGAGAAGAAAGGCTGAAGTGGTCAGCAGTCAAAACTTTTATCAAGGATTTGAAATTGTTAATTGGAAAATAGCCACTTGGCCGCAACCACTGTTGAAATAATAGGAGGTTCCATTATGTCCAGTCTGGTTTGGTTTTTTTTGTGAATCATTAACTGTAGAATTCCCTATCAGAAACAACTATATATATATAATCCTATATCATTTTATTTATTTTTTCCGCTCCAAATCTCAGATTTCTCCATGCAGTCCAATCAACAAGCCGTGATGACCCGCTTCCTGATTTTCCAGGAAGACGGCTCCAGTTCTTCCCCTTCACTTTAACCCTTTTGCTGCCACCATCAACTGCTACGTTGGAAGCAGAGCCTTCATGTACCCAAACTCCCGACTTTAACATTTTTACTCCTGGCTGCTGACTTTCACATAGAAGCAAGTCATCTATACACTATTAATGGAACTGTTCTTCCAGATTTAGAGCTATCAATTCCCTGTTGCTCTGATAGTGAGGAATAGAAGTGAATCAAGCACAGCCTTTGCTGTCATATAGGGGGTTTATCAGGCAGCTTGTGAAAGCAATAAAGTTAAGTTTAAAAAACAGTTTTGAATGAATGTTTACTAAAATACAGTAAATGAAAAAAACCCCAACAAAACAACACATTTTAACAGCAATCTGCTGCCTATGTACATGTGTACGAAAACGATGCTCCATATCAATCAACTCAAATGCCAGAGCCTTGAATCTAATAATGGGGAATTATCTCAACTTGCAGAGACATAGAGGCTTTGTGTGCAGCTTGGGCCTAGGATACATAACTCTGCAGTGGAGTAGTGATTGTTTCAAAGACAAATGCAAGCACTTGGAGGCAAAAGATGCACTATTAATACATTTAGTAGTTTGATGGTAATTATAGTATCAGAGTACTTCAGAGAACTTTGAGCCCCAGAAAAAAAAAAACTGGAAGCAGGCCAGATGGTGGATTGGACAAAACGTGTTTCCCAGGGGAGGACAGAGAAGGGGTGATTTCCTCTGACCGGCAGTGCTCTGAGGGAACATGGAGCCTGCTTCCCAGCCAATCAGGAAGCCGGGCTGCGGGTAATGATCATGGCCCGGCTTCCTGATTGGCTATGAAGCTAGCTCCATGCTGTTTGGCTGGCTAGATGCTGATTGGTCGGGAAGCCAATTAGCATCGACCTGGCCAAACAGCATGGAGCTGGCTTACCGGCCAATCAACAAGCCGGGCCAATCAACAAGCCGTGATGACCCGCTTTCTGATTTGCCAGGAAGACGGCTCCATGCTGATTGGCTGGGAAATTATACTGTTTATCCAGCCATTGCCATCGTCATTGTCCTTTAGGTCATGTGTGTCTACACAAAATCAATGTTCATTACACTGATGACCATGTTTGCCATAGTAAGTTCACTAATTGTATCTTA